GATCGATTCTACGTGTGTTGCAGGGCGCCTCCACCCACTGCTCCTCACGCGCCATTTTCGTCATGGTAGATTAGGGAAATTTAGTGTTATTAGCGAAACCTTTAGTTCCAGATGGCTTCTTTTTTCTGGTTGATAAAGTGCTGTCTGGAAGTGTTATGTTTGTTTAATGTTCAAAGCTTTTTAGCTATTATTTTCGTTGTAGGACAGGATTCTGACGTTTAATGTTCACTACGGGCTGTTCAAATGCATATAATTGTTCCTTCGATTAATGTCCGTACACCAATGCAATTGCTGAACCAAAAAATCCATTGGTTTCGTGTTGTTTCCCTCGAAAACTTAGTGTCGTTGTCTTATGACCATTGAAGAATTCGGATGCAAATATTTGGATCGGTCTCTATTAAGTAGAGTTTCCCATCTTTGTAGACTTCGCAGTGTGGGCGAGGTTTTTAGCGCCGCGTGCACTTTTCGCTCTGGCTATGTTTGGCCGTGTTTTTGCGATTTCGTGTACTTTTCCGGTCCATGGATCAGATTTGTTGGACATGGTATGCTCATCTGCATATTTTCCACTCTCGAACTTTAAAAAATAAACGAACGGATTCATCATTTCACCACTGTGAAACTAGGTCATTATCTTCATTTCAATGAATGCGAAATTTCTCACCAGGGTTTATTGGCCTGCCAGCCGGGTAAGACAAATGATACGAGCAGGTTTTGATTTTTCAGCAAGCATTATTAGAGAGTTAGCTGAAATTGATGCCTGCAGAGTAAATGATATATTAATCAACAAACAATTGGTCAAATATCTTCAATCCGAGGCTCATTAGCCGTTTCCTCTTATTGCGTGTCCATTCAGAGTTTATGGTTTACGAGAACGAATTTTTTCAAAATGTTGATTAAATTCTTATCGTCTTAGTCGACTCAGTGTGAGAGCAGTAACGTTATGTTAGTGATGAGCGTTTTAATTTGATGTCAACCTTATAAGGCATTTGTGGGAAAGCGTCGATAGTTTCCACAGTCGGTCTATTGCCCTACAACGAATAAGTTGCTTTCATTTTATTTATCTTTTTAAATTCGTACCCTAACTAGTCTTCGAACGGCACCAAAACTCCATTAGAATTGAGGTAACTTTCAAACCTTTTACAAAGATGCAAAAACCTCAAAGAAAGAAAACCTGTGTTTGGAAAATTGCCACAAAGAAAAAAGAAGCTATACTTGAAGAATAGCCTGTTTGTCCGAAGCCGTCCGAAGACACGTACTTAGTCATCTTCACTTCGAGCGGAATAAAAAAGAATTCAAATGTTTATAAAGGCTTAGAACTTTGTAGTTGAACTAAGTGGATAATAGGAATGGTGCGAGGTGACAATTATAAATGTTTTATTGTGTACTTATCAGTTGGAAAAGCGAGGAAAATACACTTATTTAATCAGGACTCTTTTGAACATTGGAAATGTTATATGACTGTAAATGAAAGTTCGAAAAAATTAAGGCCTTAGTTGTCTTGCTATCGAAAGTCAGTCTATCGCATGTGAATGGTTTTTGGTCAGAGTTGTTACTACAACAGAGTTGTCATTTAACTTCTCAGTACTAGATGCAATACTTCCTCGCATCATTAAGCTGGAACGAAATTGTTACGAAAGTTTTATGCGACGAGCTTTTGGCGCCTTAGCCATCTTCAGAGCCAGTATGGTGCAAATCGGATTCTCCACAGCCTTTCCTCATTTCTGTGATGTGTTTATTCGTAATTGCATCGAATTGAATCCAGTGAAGTGGAGTGCCTCTTGAATGAGGGGTGTGGGGGTAGAGGTGCTTTTGGCAGAGACTTTTTGAAAAATAGTGATTGCATTTTTGTGCGCCACATCAGTAATGTGTTAGAACATATGGAGGGAATCTAGGCATTCAGTTTTGCTTTTCATTGTCTTTTTTTCAACTATGATAGTACGCCACGGATTTTTTTACCTCAGGTTCCTAGCTCCGAGCCTAATCCATATTATTACTTCGCTGGATATGCTATTCAGATTTGGATATCTCAGAAGGAAAAAGGAAACCAAAGACATTTCCTTATGGTTTCGAGTGCCGCTGTGTAGTTTAGAATTGGTGTAGCTTTCTCTAAGAGCTGGTAAACGGTTGTGACTTTGACTAACATCGTCCGAAAATAATTGTGTACTCATTCATTTATCAAGTTTCATCAAGTTAATTATAAAATAATAAACTGTGTAGACCAATAAGGAATACGTAAAGTTATGGCCTTTTTTGAAGTTGGATATATAGATGTTGATGAATATTCTAGAAATTTGCAAATATACCAACCAAGGTTTTTTGGGAAGGTTAACTTCTCCTGTTTTGTCGGTTGGTGACAAATTAAAAGAATGAACTAGTACTTTTGTAGATTTCTCATACTTACCAGGTTTTCTACTGTCTTCATCCAATGATTTGTCTCTGGATATCTGTATATGTTCTTACGAACTGCTTTTGTTGAGCTAATGCGAAGTTGGTATAAGTTGTCGTTGTTGTTGTGGTGGTTGTTTTTGATCGAGAGCTGACGTTACGCATCATTTCTCAGAGCCTGGTCGTGCTTTCTATAACAATGGCCTTATAATTTGATGAAAAATCTATAGGAATAATAAAGATTTGACATACAAATGAGCTCCATATTGACCAGAAACTACTCACTGTGCTGTGCTGCGAGTGGGGCCACCGTGTGTTGTTCACGTGTGATGAGAAGCGAGACCCACCAAAGTCAAAAATCACTTCGAAATAAGGCGCCAGGTCGCGTGTGTTAGTGAGGCACTCGTCTTTCCGGTTCGTCTTTGGATTTTTGAAATTTATTCAAAACACCTCTAGAGTCTTGCGGGTTGATGTTTTTGATTCCTGCGCCAGAATCCGCACAATCACTTCAAAATCATTGCCATTGTGCTTTTGTGCTCTATGTGCATCTAGAGGAGTGCTTTGAAGGATTTTAACTTTCCCATCTAGATGTTCTACGCTGTTACAAAGTTTTACCTGTTTCTCCATTGTATACTTCACCGCATGCCTTACATGAGATCAAGCAAATTGTACCTAACCTCATGCGATTCCCATCTCTCCGTTAGGATAGATCATAAAGTTTTTTGAGCTGCACAGACGATCATAGAAGCTGTTGCGGGCTAATTGACGGCGTAGGGTTTTTGGGTAGGAGGTCAATAATTGCCACTGAATTTTCAAGACCACCTTTTCTTAGGCACTTCTTAATGGCGTAATTTATTTCGCTTGAAATGAAAGGTAGCTTGAAAGGGATCTTACTTAGGTTTGAAACGCTATTATTTTGGGGAACAACTCTACTTTTTGGTTTAACCCGAGTGGCCTGAGTCTGTTTTGTAACCATTGGAAATGGCTATTGTTCGCTCCAAACTAAGCGATTCCTTCTTTTTTCTTGTTTCTTCTTCATGTGAAGGATGATTTATACACAAAGCTTTATTTGGATGTTTAAGAATGGAAGCCAGTTCTTGATTTGTTTTTCCCGCGTGAATTTTGTGTACTCCAACTGTCTATTCAACAGTTCAAAGCATTCGTCCGTCTGGTTTAGGAATGGAAACCAGTTCTCGGTTGGTTTTTCCTGCATGTATCTTGTATATTTAAAAGTTCACAGCATTCATCCATCTGTTCTTGCGTGGAGCTGACAAAGCAGTTGTCTATACATCGGCAGTTGAGTAAGGGTCGATGATCGAAAACTGGAGATTCCAGCTTATACATAAAAACTATGAAAAGGCTAGATGCAAACCACTATCCTATGGCCAACTCTCTAATTTGTGCAAAATATCTTGTCTTTGGATATTTTTTACGCGATGACCATAATTTCGCTTTTTAAATACAACCACAATTATGCTGAGATATTTGCGGAACTCAGACCGCAAACCGTGTTCGAACCCTCGATTATCTTTTTCGCTGGTTCACCCGTTACCCATTGCACCAGTGAGGCCGTTGTTTTACCTTTTTCTCATCTAGTCTTTTTACTCTAACGGTGCTATCAGCAATCACCGCTCAACAGGAACGATTTGGGGTGCACAAGTCGGCATTAAAGCACAACCACAATAGAAGCTGAAGCTGTAGTCGAAATTACAATGTGTAACGTTTATCTATTGCCCATTGTTTTTTTCACTGCAGGGTATTATGTGAAGTGAAACCACGGTGATGCTGAAGTTTTTGCAAAAAGAAAATGATGGGCGGTAGTTAAAAGTTATACATTGTGATTTATTTTTGTGTTGTTGCGATATACATCCTAGCGTTGATTTTGTGAAAGCTGGTTCAGCACATTCGCGACGAAGCCGGTTTATCGACAACTGACGACTACTGTGCGATCATTAGTGCACTTCTGGAGATCGGCGCAATATTTCCTTATAGGCTCATACTTTCTTCTTTAGGGACTTCTTTATAGACGTATTGCTCTATCGCATTACAGTATATTTTCAAATCTAAATATGTTTAGAACTGAAGTTTTTAGAATATTGGGAACGTAATTTGAAGTTTAGAAGTTTCCCGTGCAAGAGAGGGTAACCTGAACGGTGAATTACGAATACAGTTATGTCTTCCTGGGCAAAATCACCGTTCTTCGTTTGCTTTAGTATTCCAGATACGAATCTTGAGGGAAATGAAAGGAATAAATTCGTGGGCTCCACGAATTCAGAATTTCATTATGGTAAGACAAAACGTCTTGTAGATGTCTTTGTTTTAATGGTTTTCATTCCAGCTAATAAAACACTACCTCAGCCGAGATATTATGGCTTAAACTAGGAACTGGTCATCATTTCCGCATCAGCTGAATTGTATAGAATGCGGTTCTAATGTCCTTTCAATTGATTTAGCACAAAAGAGCTTTTATTGAATTGTATGAAAGACACGCGCTGCCCACTTATAGTGTTTGAAGAGAGGCTATTGAAAATAGTAAAAACTTCATGATCATCAGAAACGCAACCGTTTGTGGAAGAAAATTGGATCTCATTGTTCCGTGTAAGCGGTTCATTACGATGTCTTTTCAGGAACATGCTTTTGAGTCAAGTCAAAAGTACAAAGAGGGAAAGTTCATCATTGAACTTGCCCATATGGTGAAGGATAATCAATGGGAAGACGGTAAGAAACGGAAATCGATCTGATCATTGTTCGTTCATCACCGTCTGTTATGATGCCATAGCACAACTCATTTCATGTACAATGTGTTTTTGTTGTTTAACAAATGGAATTTCTTTCAACCTTCCTTTCTTCATCGTATTGCATGTTCGGTATTAGCAGCGATCGTTTTCATGTACACGTGTTTTTTACGCTATCGAGTTTACCATTTGTTAATTTCTGTTCCCCAGTTGTCTTTCAGTCTTCCGCTCGAATTTCTTGTCTCGTCGCAACACACTTTCTGTTTCGCTATTTGTTATTGTATATGCGTACCCTCATTTATAGGCGACGATACACCATCGCGCCAATAGTCGGACTCAGTTGGTGCTTAGTCTTTAAAAAAGTTCTGCACCATTTACATTGTAGCTATATAACGTTCTATGCAAATCCGAATATTGGTGTAGATGTGTGGTCGAGGATTTAGACAATATATGTTCATATTTTGTACATATTTGCACTGATGAGTAGAGCTTCGACAGCTGTCCTTATCTTAGTTGCTTTACAACGAGGCGTAAGATAACAAATGGCGGAAAATCGAAATGAAGAGTAGTTTCCTCCAGAAAGTCAATAATTACTCATTTTTTAATGAATGAACCTAGTTTGGTTACCAGGCAAAGATGTAGGTCTCCTTCCCCCGTCAATGCCGTCAAGTCTATATGCCTGTCTACAGTTTCGCTTATGTGAACCTGGTGAATGGTTATTTATTCCAGATGAAAATGTAGTCTCGGTGTTCTCTTAGACTATGGTGAATTTCTGCTGGAATTCCCAGTCCTTATTTGGCCTAAACCATTGACTTCTTAGATGCTCTACTGATTTTGTCCCGGAATTTCGCAACTATTTCATCACGAGTTTCCATCGTTATGCAACAGCATGTCCCATTCCATCAGTATTTTTCCTGTTTGTCTTTTTATCTGTTTGCTTTCCTTATTTTGTGCACTATGTCCGTATCATTATGTAGAATCGTGCTATGTATATTTATTGATCATGGCTGAGAATTATGTAACACCGTAAATCAGCATTTATTTTAGAACTATTGAGCGAAACTCGTGGGTACTCTTTAGCCCATGATGGGCGGTTTTCCATGATTGTTTACCCGTGTACGCAATTTTTTTCGTTTGCTGTACATTACTGCTCATGAAATGAAATATTCTTAAAAGACCGTACCCAACAGAACGATTCATCCGAATATGTTCTCAGATAATAGTTCGATAAACAGAGCTTTAATTCCGTACAGCTTTGAGGCTATACGTGCCTTCAAATGCTGAAGAAGTAGCAACATCTAAAATTTGGTGGGTTGGTAGTAAGATAACCATGAAAGTTGAACAAAATCGAATTTAATGATTTCAATGTTGGTTAGTCTTCCGCCCTTTCGATATATCTTCATGGGAGGTGTTTGTCACAGTACACTTGCTAAAAAATGAGTAATTATTGATTTTCTGGAGGAAACTACCTGTTTAATGTTGCAAAGCATTTGTACCCCTCTTCCACCCTCACCGATGAAGGACGAGAGCAATTCGATTAATTTAGCAAGATTTTCGCCTAGTAATTAACTTTTGCCTCATTGAAATGAATAGACCTCCCAAAGGTTTACCGCCTCATCGTGGCTGGGAGGTGTTTCTGGGTGTCGGACTGCGATGTACAGCGGGGGGATTCGTCCCACCCGGCAGGGTCTCCCAAGCTGAGGAATTCGGCGTTTCCATCAGAAAGCCTGGCTAAGAGTAAACCAATAACAGGATCCGCCACCGTCCTGGTATCAAAGTCGCATGGTGGTAAACCTCCTGATCCACAAGGGCTACCACTGTGGCCACACTGTTCTCAGGATTCCAGGGAACCGCAACGACTTAACCAGCAAGTTTCCGAAAAATGGTGATTATGCTGGAGTCCGCACAATCAGTGAGGACGGGGCGTTCAAGTATCAAGTAAAACGAATAGAATCCGGTAGTTCTTTCCTACGGTCATGAAGCGGGGGAAATTGGACCCAATCTATCTCTGAGGGTTTAGAATACGAATACGATGTGGACAGCAAAAAGCGAAAAGCTTAGAAATGATTAGAACCAATGAAAATGAAAAAATGAAAAAAAAAAGATGGAATGATGAAAAAAAAGATTTTGTAAATACCGACTCTATAGATATTTAATTGCGAAAGCCTATAAATTGACAGAATTCAGTTTACTATATTACTGTGATGTGCTGAATAAGAAGTAATTTAGTAGTGTCGTTAGTCTTTTTTATATGAGGTACGAATCCTGCTTATTCTATTGGTTCACTAAGTGCTCGTGTTCATCATTTTGCTTGTCATTTAAGAAATCATTCATTTTGAAACCTGATAAACAGCAAGTTAGAAGAAATTCATAAACAGCACAGATCAATTCTAAGGATTTCACAGATTCAAATCGTCGATCCTGTCGACAGTCGTACGTATCAGATCGTTGATTGACACTTTTCCACCGATGTTCTCCACGTTCTCAAACAGGATATCAACTTCCTGGGTGCTCATTTTCTCTCCTGAACATGTTTTTTTTCTCGCGGTAAAGGCCTTCACCATGCTCTCAGGATTTCTTTAGAGGCGTCCGAATTGTACATATAACGTATAACGGTATTATAGGCCAGTGGTAGTGATATCGACCATTAGGGAAAAAGCTGTAGCTTGTCCCAGCACCGGCCCAATCAGTCGCCGTTGTCGCTCCGCTATGGGAATTTGGTGTCAGACTTGTTTGGAATCAGCTCTCTTCCTCAAAAGTTTTCGATTGCCCATGATGACGATCTGGGAACCCACTAACATAACTGTGACAGAATCTGAGAGAAAATCGCCTCGATTAACATTCAACGGAGCTCATAGAGGGTACCGAATATCCTCAAGCAAAAATCGAATCCACACGCAAAGATTCGGAGGCTTTTGTCGATGACGGACGTGAGGAAATGAATCGAATCGAGTCGCATAGGAGTAAAACATTGATATGTACATGAAGCACAATGTGATGAGGTGTCGTTGACATCTAAGGGTTCAGGTTCAAGCCTCGTTCACTGGAATACGAAGTCGAATGTCTTCTGTCAATCAGTATGTTGAGAGAAGAAAGGTTGTTTAGTTATAAGCTGTTTATTTGTCTATTGGATGGTCCGTACAGACTATTTCATTGGTCAACTCAACATTCGCAGTCGTAGAGTCTTAGTTTTTAGAAAAGTACAGCAATGTAGTGTGAAGTATAAATATTAAAAGACATTGAAGCACATCGTTTTTCTTAATCAAAATGACGACTTCCTTGACTTGACTATTATTTTTACCTATGCATTTATTATCTCAGTACTTCTCTCACTTAGTTCGTTATCTGGCACCTATTACCCACTTTGATCTTTGGGGGTTTTTTTTATAAATCTCTTTGAATGCCGGTAGTGTTGATTCTCGCTGAAATCCTGGGATTGCTTTCCTAGGACGTTTCTCAGTCTTCACCGAAGGTAGTCGTCAAACTTCTTGGATCGGAGAGAGCTCTTTCCAGGCAGGTCTAATACAGATTTCTCGACCTAGGAGGTATAGGAAGCATGATTAGCGCTGACCACTGTCGAACATGCGTGTACTGCATCTGTGAGCACTGCATTTCCCGCCCCCCTAACGCGACTGTGCGACCACACTTTCTTCGATGATGAGTGAGTATACTGTACTAATAAATGTCAAACTTGATGTACCTAAGTTCTGAAGCATCTGGCAGAGATCATGTAACTTGACGTTCTTTCTACCTTCGCGGTGAAAGTGCGAAAGTAAAGTCTGGAATGGGATAACACGTGTTGTTTTGTCAAGAATGATGTCCCAAGTCTATGAAGAAAAATATTGCACGCCAGAGTTTAGGGCTAAAGCTGTCTAAAGATCTGATATCAATTAAATATAAACACTAGACATTATGTATGACATCATCCTTTTGGTCTGGTAAGTGTTCCAATCCACCGTGACGATGGGAATCAGGAGAAGAGTGGATACTGCATTTACATCTCATCTATGAGTCATATTCTCGCTAACAAAGCTCTTCAATCTGTTAAACCCCTATCCAAAGGCTTAGGTCTCAGGTAGGACTCGTTCACCTGGAACTGCTCAAAAGTCGGTGCTTTCCCAGCTTCTTTCTTCACATTTTCATATATGGGCACAAACTCTTCGATGGAGACGCGACTTTCTAAATCGTTCTCTGCTAATAAATGCATAAGGAGAGTAAACGGATGTAATTTGAAATTTCAGGTGTGCGTACAGTGCTAAATAATCTTCTGAAGAATTAAGGAAGTACTCATCTGGGTCATCCTTCCACCTACCTGTCATGCGCTTTATAAGAGCTTCGGTTGGTTGCAGATTTATTGATCGAATGTAATTTCCGATCTGATCCAATGATAATGTTATACACAAACGTTAATTGTAATGAAGTCGCAACAATATAACTAATAATGACATCAAAACGGGACGATGACATAGTGGTAGTGCTGGGATTCACTACGGACAAGGTATTGGATCAACGCAGCCATGGGTCCACCAAGTCTGTCGCCCTTCTGTTGTTGAGAAATCGGTAGCAGGCTTTTCTGGGGCAAACTCACTCCCTCAGGTCCATATGAGAACGCCCTAGAACGGTTAGCTCAGAGTTCCAGGGAGAGTCGACGCCCTAGCACGGTTAGCCCAGAGTTTCAGAGAGAGTCGATTCCGTCGGCATTTAACGACATTCGTAGTGAACGACGAAAATCCTCAAGCAACAACTGAACTCACAAAAGGCTTGAAAACCTTCATAAGTGGGCAATACAAGGAAACGAATCGAACGCAAGAAGTGCTGGTATCTCCACAAAGTCTGTGATAACGGGTCATGTGAGGAAATTTGTGGCAAGAATTGTGGGCATAGCTCAGTAATTTGATTATATGAACGATTCGTGTTCGTGAGAAGTGCGAGTCTCAGTACGTTTTCCATTGAACAGGTGTGATTTTGCTTGAGCAAATCAACTTTTCGTTGGATAACGGGCCAAAAAATGAAAAGTTTGCCAATTCATCTAGTTCCGCTAGGCTTCTTCTAGGAATATGGACACTCCTAAGAAGGGTTCATCTTTAGGTAGGATTTCAGACGAAGACTTTTCTCCACCGGAGAAATAAGATCTGCTGCACATCACAGTTTGGCACTCAGGGACTTCCTTGCCCTTCACGATAAGATGACATACTATTAGAGGAGTGATAGCAGTGTAAACATAATTCTCCATTCACAATAGTAGAAGTATTCAGTTTAACTTATACATTCCCTTAATGTTCTACTCCTAATCGAGGCGAAGGGATATGCCTACATGTTGAGCTCATAACTCGATGCCGCTAAGGCGACATGAGGATAGGGAGGCCAGAAGCTTTCATTTAAAAGTCCAGAATTTAGAAGTGAACGGTCATTTATAGATTATTGCTCATATCAATGTCGACGAAGTAACCTGCAGGACAGAAAGAGCAGGATGACATATGCCTGACCACTGTCAGAAACTTGCTAGTGGCTGAAAATTTCGGTCACGAAAGCTCGGCAGAGGATTTCTTGTACACACATCTGCTAATTATGACATCAAGTTATTCGAGATCCTAGCAAACCCTTTGTTTCCAGTCTCCTGCCCAAGAATGAGCAATTCTTATCAACTGCTACTGTCATCACTGGTACCAGTTATCATCAACTGCTGCTATAGTCACTGGTATTCTCAAATATAGGAAGCTGACAAGAACCAATTCAACCCTTTCGCTGATGCGTTCAACAAAGTATCGATTCAACATGTAAGACTCTACAAATGCGCTTTTACTGACTTTAGCAATGGAAAAAGAAATTCCGAAAAGTCGTCTAAATTGACCACATCTTCAGAACAGGTGACACTGCTTTGTTGAAATCACCGCGTTGCCATATCGTCGTGTTCGATTCGATTACTATTCGATTTATACATTACCTGGTGGAGTCGTTCCAGGATATCGTTGGAATATTAGGCAAGACCGTCAGGAAATTCGAATAAAAAAGAGATTCATCTGAAGAAAACAAATCGTCAAGAGAGACCTCCAGCAAGATCGGCCATGTTTCTGGTTGATTCGCGTCAATCAGCCGTATTCCGAACAGGGAAACAATCTGTGGATTGCACGGTAACATTTGCGGCTGTCATAGTGCAGGAAGAAGACTTCTTTCACAAAACCAGAGTTGGTCAGAGTCGCACTGAGCAACTGGAGACGTAAAAACGGGCAGTTTAACCACCTGAAAGTGAGGTTTACCTGCGATGCGGCGATTTTCGAGTCGCCTTTCGTAGAACCAGAATACTTCCTCAATGTCTTCAATCTAAATTATGGTATCCATTATAATAGAATATATGCTACATAGAATAGAGGTGTCATCCTTTTGTTGTCACCACATGAAAATGTTCCTCCAATTCCGAAAATTTGCGTAAAAACAATTTTAGAGATCAGAAACCGATCTGTTCTAGAAGATGTTAAAAAGTCACAACAGTGCTCATCAGTGGGCCTTATTACTCTCTTAACACATTTGCCCTGATACGTATTGATTTCGATGCATTCATAAAGCAGGAAAACTGGACTATAGCTTCTGATGTTTTAAATGCACCGTCTTCCCAGTAGGTTCCTCCATGGCGGAAACTTTCCTGTGGAATGGAACATGTAACAACTGTTTACTTCGAAATTTCTGAGTAAATTGTTGACAGTGGATAAGACCCATCGCGGAAAACTACGTTGTGCCATTCATTGACCGCTGAGAATTAGTGGTTGTCGAAAATATATTACCGACAGGCTTCATTTTATAAGATAGTCTTTTGCGTATCACTAAACCTCGTTTGTGAAATACAACCAGAACGATGCTGAGATATTCGCAGAACTTGGACCCCGGGACAGATCGAACTTCGATTACCCTTCTCGTTTGTTTTCAAATTTTAAAGTTATTTTTGCAATGCAGTCTTTCGCGCTTCCCCAAACTTCTGCGACACCATCCATAACTGTTATGCAGTTTCGTCTCTAACAAGGGTAAAAATACTAGTGGTTTACTTGAAAGTTATTTCAAAAATAGAAAACGCCTTAATTTAGATTCCTCAGCGTAATCTCCACTTTTTCGGTGTTTTATTAGTTTAGCCATTGTTCCCTGGAGTCCTGTGCTTAGCCTAACCAAAGTTTGCCCCGGGTCGTCACCACCACATGCAGTAGCCGCTCATGTGGGTCAGAGGGAGATTTGCCAACATGCGACTAGTTTAATACCAGTACGGTGGTTGATCCTGGTATTGGTTTACTCTTAGCTGGGCTTCTTGATGGAAAGCCGGATTCCTTCTCAGCCTGGAAGGCCGCAGCGGTGGGATAAGTCCCCCCTTACACATCAAAGTCTAACATCCAGGAATGCCTCCAAGCCACGATGAGGCGGTAAACCGTTGGGAGGGTTTTGTAAATATCTTAACGTTATTGTGGTTGAATGTCCTACAATACCGTGCCATGTAAATTTGTCGTAGGGAGTAAATAAAAAGGTTAACATTGTTTATTAAGCAAATAGTTAAATCAACATGCGAAGTGCCTGATTGACGGCAGCTGTTATGCGAACGACGAAACGAAGGGAAGCTGTGTTAGCACAATCTGTCGTGACGAGAGCAGTCTATGGATCTACATAAGCGTATTGCTTCTATTGAAACTTTAGGGTTTCGTTTACTATTCAGATGTCAAAATTATCATTCAAGTCGATGAACAAGAAGCATGCAGGGCAATAATAACGGTTTGAACAAAGTTCCATTAAGAGATAAAGCTCTTGGCACTGATCAATCCGTGAGGGATGCCCTATGCATAGGACTTTGGTAAGCATCGTTGGAGGTGGTTGAATGCACGTCTGGCCTTTACAACGACTCGTGAGGCCTACCGATGTATCCAGCCAGTGCTGTTATCCTCCCAGATAAGTCTGGTACTAATTTGCCGAGCCCACAGGGATGAAAGGCTTGGTGAGTCTAAGGCACAGGGGTCGATCCCATGTGTACTGCAGGGCGCCTTCAACCACTGCGCTACACACGCTCTAAAGTTCCGTTACAAAGGACTTTTACGAGTTATTCACAATCAAACTAACTTTAACCCTAGAGACATTCCTCGTGTTTAGAAGCGCCATTGTTCTCATTGCTCGTGATGAGTCGGCCAGGAGTAGGGTTTGAGTGTGCTTTCAGTGTACTGTGCTTTGGTATAATTTTATTTACAGCATAGTGCTAGGGATCGTAACAAGCGGCTACCAAATCTGAGGTGTGCGATTCGTGATACAGAATTTTCCCGCCAAAGACGAGCAGATCTTTGGAAGCCATTATCGCGTTCTGAGAATGGACGTTGGGATTTTGTAGGATAACTTCTTTCTGTGTGCAGTTAATTGATTTGGAAATGGTCTTCAGTCTAGCTGGCCATAGTAGGCTTCGATTGTAATAGGTATGAAAAAACGATCTATTAGGATTTAGAACCGCATACTGGTTATAACTTGAACTGGCGTTTACAATAGAAATTGGGATAGGATATCCACTAATCGTCTAAGAAGTGGAGACGTTAGGCTATATACAACATTGCTATCCTTCTATCCTTAAACAACAGAAGCTGAGGTGATCATCGCTGGTACTCTAGTGAGTGCCTTGCCAAATTGCTAGATTCTATGCCCAGTGTAGCTACTGGACACCCCATCTCAGAAGGCCAGCTGGCGTGGTGTCGCGATCTCGTCTTGGTTGAGAATCACAGAATATAGCTTATTTGTGTGTTCAGGACTGCTTCTTCAGATTGGTGTCTCCGTTGTTGAACCGGTCAAACCATCGTTGAGCAGTCATTGGAGTGGCGACATTCAATTCGAGTTGAGCAGAAGTGCGGCGATTAGCCTTGGCAAGTGGATGACCGAATTGGAAGCAAAAGAACAGCGAACGGAAAAGATAATCTCGATTGAAGCTCATGTGATGTCTCTAAGCAAATGAGTGGTCAGTGCTATCAACCTCATTGAGTTGATTCATATTATTATGTCACCCGACAGTACTTCCGATGAAGAAAATCTAGGGCGAGGAATAATTTGAAAGACCGATTTTCGATTAACATCGGCTTTGATTAGCCTCCTTTATCTTACCAACTCTCCTTTTCCGAGCTGACTAGAGGTTGTTACTACGTGTTTTGACGTTCGATGCCTAGTGCTTCGGCGGCTTCGCTTTATTCAAACTCTGGATTTACTACATACCTGTGCTTTTATTCTTCTGTTTCCTGTATTCTGAATTAATTCGAATATCCTTTAGTACTAATAGAACCAACTCTATAGACGAAACCGGATATTTGCGTAATAAACTGGACGGCAAGCGATGAAAAATGAACCTCACTCGGATCAGAAGATTAAGTTGAGATAAGGTGCCATATCACTTGTGATAGCGACGTGGTCTCGCTTTCTGATCATTTCTGGATCATTGAAGTTTATCCGAAGTATCTCAAGAGTTTTGCGCGTTAAGTTATTGATTCTTGCACCGGGATCGTGCCTGTTACTTCAAATTCATCAGCGTTGTATTTTTGTGTTCTATGCATACCAACTACTTTGGTATGACTGCACTACTTTGTCTGGATTCTAACTTTCCATGTAGGCAACCGTTTATGCAGACACGTGATCCACCCGTTTTGCCAAACACACATTCGTACACACACGTACACACACACGTACACACGTGCACATGCGCACACATACACATACACAAACACGCATACACACACACGTACACACACACATATACACACATACACGTACACATATATATTTATATATATATATATATATACACATTTACCCATACACGTGCACATGCACATACACACATAAACATACACACCGGCATAGACTTGTGTATATACATAAACACATAGCAAATCTAATGCTCATAGCACATCCAAACGTGCATTGAGGTGCACCTCACGACACTTTTATATCGCCTATTTCAGAGGTGAGTTTGCTCTTGGAAGCACTGATATTTACGATTTTCCAATGTCTAAGATATAAGCACTATTCTTTTTTAACTTCTAATTCATTGGTTTGGGCCGGAGGTAGCGCAGTGCTTAGTGATACCGTCGAGCGGGAATCAAAGGCGATAGCTCGTAGTCCGGTTAACTCCAAGACTGCAAGGAGAACTGACTCGACCAGCATACTATGACATAGCTAAGGACTAAATCCTCAAGCAGCAGTCGTTACAACACACAAGACATTTGTGGGTGTTGGGTGCGAGGAAACGAATCGGATGAAAGAAGTGTTGGGACCTGCGCAGTAGATGTGATAACCACTCATGTAAAATAAGGATGAAGTAATAAATTTCCATGAGCTGATAAAAAAATATTGTGCAGTTCTCTAAATCGATTTGTCTCTTCGCGTCCTTAAAGGTCTTCAGATTTGCGTGTGGCTACTGCTTGAAGGTTTTAATCTTCTTTACAAACTTAGCTGAACGCTGATTGAGTTTATTTTCTCTGGAATCCCCCAATAGCAGTGTTACGGCGCTCCAAGGCCTTCATCGCAGGCAGTCATTAGCCCTCATGGATCATAGTGCCCTTCCAAGAAAAGTTCGTCACCAGTTTGCCACGACCCCGAGGAACTGAGGGCTTGGTTGACTGGGGTGGGCTTGATTCACGCCCCTGCATGTATCTTGATTGTATTACTGGCTTGGATCTTGCTGACGAAGATATGTAGATTCTATCAAATGTATTTAAATTGGTGAAGTTCACAGTGATGGTTCGATGATTGTCCTTTCCATATCGAGGTTCGTGTGGTTTCGTTTTTAGATTAGAGATATTTCTGATACTGAAAGTCTTGAGCGTCTTGTTCTCGGGTATTTTTATAAACGTGTCGCTTTGGAATATTGAACGTCATAGCTTTTATTTTCAGGTTCAATGTTGTTCTTATGCTAGTTGAATGTCGAGTTTCTCCAGAAACTCCATTTTCGGGCGGTTTAAATGACTGTGAGACCGTTTTAGAACACTTCGTGAAAATTCCTAAGGATGAACAGGGTATGGATCCAGAGAAGGTAACTGCTTGTTGTCCTTATCTGTTCTTTTGTTTACTCAGTTTTGTTTCTGTCGCTGCTTCGGGTACAAATGCAGTTTCAATTATATCGTGATTCTTCGTGAAGAATTGAAAAACAGGTAAAAATAAAGGGCTTGTCTTAAGGAGTTAAATAAATAGGGAATAAAAGATCCTTCGGGCTCTTTGAGTTCAGTGTAGTAGTGTTGGCTGGGAAGCGACTGTTCAATGCTGCGGTTTTCCGTAGAAGACTGGAATTGAAACAAAACAACCTTAACCAAGTTAACCTTTGTGTTGTGTTTCAAAAGATGTAGAGCCTTACAACACCTATAATAGTGCATACACTTCTGGTTGGACTGGACTAGTGAGTTTCACTTTAATGTGTAAAACAGTTGTGCTTTTTGCAGGTTGTCGTAATGGGCGATTGGAAATCTAGTTGCTGCAGTTATAAAACGACGTGGTAACACCCGTAAAAAAGCCTGATGTTCTTGATCAGGTTCTTGATTTTGATTTGAGGTTCTGATTTGTCCTCTTTTTCAACCAGCAAACTTGTAGTCTCTCCGTTCCCGATATCTTCATACGAACTTTCATGGGACTTTTGTTGTCGGTATGCTTTACCTTAACCCAATTACTTAATAAGACAGTAGAGCATACTGCAGATCCTGAGCCCGTAACGTATCATTATATGTTTTCTCCTGGTATCAACATAGACCGTTACGTCAATCTCGTGAAATACGTCATTGTCAAGGGCCGTGTTGCTCATCGTTTGCGTGACAAAGTGGGATAGGTGCGATAATTTTTCTTCCGTAAGGGTTGTTCAGGCAACTTGAAGATTGCCTTTTAAAATTTTCTTCCGATATTGGATTAGGATTGATTTTCCTTCCTCGACTGTATAAATGAGGCCTTAGTAGAGCGGAAGGAGAAGGTATATTCTGTTCAGACACAATAACTAGCTTCTCCACGCTTCCAGGCAGACCAGACCGGACTCCAACCTCCACAACCAAGTTCGTCTCCACTTATTCGAGAGGTGTTCCGTAAGTTCTTCCAATTATGCGGTTTCTAGAAAGCACAATACATATTCCGCAAAGCTGTAAGACTCATGAAATCTCTCTCCTGAATATGGCGCATCGCTTTAGGAAGGGTTCATGTACGTTAACCCACTGAGGGTATATTTTCAGTCCTTTTTTGTAAGAATTCATTAGTGTACTGCTTATTTAGGCTGTTGGTATAAGCCCAGAGGCAGGGAGTTGCATATTGTCTTTCGTGCATTACTTAATTTTCGTAATGAAATTGAAGAGGCTTCGCATTCGTTGGACCATGGCGTTTTCTGAACAAGAAACTGATACCTTTCTCTGCAAACTAAGCGTTATTGGTTTTTTTTTTGTTTTTTTCCGCACATACTTTCTGTGATGATAGACGTTTTCTGTATGTACGTTATTCCCCTGCTGACCAGCGCTCATAATTTTGATATGCCGTTTTTTATTTTACGTATCTCAACATATTGTGTTGCCTATCAGCAATTTAAAGAAATAATCTTAAGCACTTATTATTGAATGTATGAAAGTAATCTTAGCTTGAATAAACATGGATGATCGTTTCAATGATGCTCTAAACATCTGAGATGTGTTTCATATTTCATCAATGTTTACTTTAAACAAAACTTCTATTGTAGGGCTTAATTAAGGTACTGTGTTGGGCACTTATTAAAGACAATAAGTAGTTTCTAAGGGGAGAAACTTGCCAACTTCTGCCTTGAGTTGAGAGCCTATATAAGCTAGATGAGAGGGGCAATATCGTCTATTAATGCATTTTGGAAATTTAGCAGTAAACTACGAACGATGATCTTTGTTATTCATTGGTATTATGCGCTCATACTATGATTTTTGGCTATATGAACTTGCTTTCAGCAGTATTTTCAGTTTCTATAAATGGTGGATGTGATTCTGCAATCTTCTGATGGCGTTACTTACACGTTACCAACCGAAATGGCCACATTATCATCGCTTGTCCAAGATGTCCTCGAGCATTGCAGTATGCACGGAGACAGGACTATTCGTCTGCCTAAGGTACCTGACGTCGCTCTGGGAAACGTAGGTATGGTTTTGTAGTCATACAGGTGCACATTTACCAAGTTCAGCCTTCCCGAAAGCAGCCTGGTAAGCTTTTATACATAGTTACGCGTTGTATCCGATAAGCATATATTTAGTTGAGTAATCGCTCCACTTTATCTACCGAATACCTTCAAGACAGTAGGTTATCGAAATATTTGGATGTGCTTGTGCTCGAAATTTCTTACGTAGAGTTTCCATAACCGCAGACATTCTGAAGGGAATCCGAAAATCTCTGCTTGGTGGTCTCGTGTTGTTAAGTGTGTTAATTGGCAACTTGTTTAAATCGTGTTCTGGCAGCTATTAGTTGATTGATCTCGTGTTTGTGGAACTATTGTTAACTAGGGGTTTGAGGGAGAAGTAAAGTTGGGCACCAGAGGACTTCAATGTCTTTTCTCAATAACTATAGATACAGAACCATTGATCAATCATTAAAGAAAGAGTTGGACGTGTTGCCACTCAAAAGTAAGCGCTTTCAGTGGAATGGATGCGTCGAAAAAACCAGGTCTCTTCACAACGAACAAATACGTCTTCTGAATCGAGACGATTTACCGAAAGCGAATACGACGGCAGGGTTAGTTGTAATCAGTGCTTAGTGCTTCAGAGTAGTGATTTTGATGGCGCAATTTTATTATTTAGGATTCTCAGCTTGCCAACTGGGAGCGTGATTTCTTCCATCGTCTTAATAAAGATGTCCTGTTTATGGTACTGAATGCTGCCAACTACATGGGAATTACGGCGCTCGTTGGCTCAGGTTCAAGCTATGTTGCAGAAGTGATTTCGGTAATGTCGTTCAGAGTTGTTCTATCAAGTACGGATTTCAGTTATCGTAAAAGCAAGAGGGTTTGATTCAAATCACCCATCATCCACTGGAACAGTAATTGCTTATACGTGACTCATCCGTGGATTACTTATGTCACCTGTAAAAACACGAAGAGCATCAGATTTTCCGTATGGCGACACTTGTTTTTTCTTTTTGTGGAAATATGTGCATGTGTGGCTGAGTAAGCCTGCCCTCCTAAAAAGCCTGAAGTGTTTCGTAGAGGTACAACACCTCCTTGTTACTTGGTTCCAAGGTTTTGAAGGGATCGAAAAACAGTCTACAGCTCACCTAAACGCTTGCCTATGTGTATGATTATATTTACATACATATGTGTTGCTCACATGAGGTCGGTTGTGCAATGATAAGAAGTCCATCTCTTAGTTGTTTTTGCATCTTAAGGGTACACATGGAAAAACTTGTTAAAACCGTAGGTACATTTAAAAATAGTTAGAGACTTTCCTCAATTTCATTTCTACTGCTGGTCAAATGTCGTTTAGAGAATGACCCTGGAGGAAAAGAAGGCGTATCTTAATTCCTCTACGAGCAATACAGGCAACAAGGAGAGCTTTCAGCAAAAGTATCCTTGGATTACACATTGATATAATAGTTATGTGGTCACATCTAATCAAAGTTGACGAATATCAGCGTACATGAGGTGAGTTCTTTCTCAACAATTCTATTATAAGTCAGTATTTTCTTTTGGACCAAAAATGAGGCTGTTAATAACGAAATTTGCTCTATACTGGTTGATGTTTCATCGGTTTGGCCTTCTTCGGACCCTGGAAGGATCAAATTGGCACATTACTTACTCAGCCAAACACTTTCGTAAGCCATATGTAAGGAACTAAATTCATAAATTTTATTCACATTGTGGACAGCTTCTTTGAAAACATTCACCATTTTGGATAACACGAGAGCTCCTGGAAAAGGTAATCTTGGGTTCGAATCTGGCCTGGGATCCGACTTTAGCATATGTCTCAGCCTCATAATGGTTGTATTGCACATCATGTCAAGCTGTAAAAAATAATATTAGGCAGTAAATTAAACTTTCAACATTCATCATTTTGTTCTTTATAAGACTTTCAGTTATTTAATGGAGGCACGTCGCAGTCTTATATTGGTGAGGAATGTGCGTGACTCACCATACAAGGTCACAACTCGGTTTGTTCTGTGTTAATGTTGGTTAATTTCGACGTTGTCACGACTTCTGAGACTCTTGGTTGCCAGTTTTGATATAAAGAATTCTTTCAAGCGAGTCTTGTTTATTGAACCTTTGCATCTGTTTGTACAACCCTTTGATGACTTAGGAAACTAATTGCGCTTCCACTCATCGTTTCTACATTGAAGCTAAATTGTACGACCAGACTTCCCTTCTACTTTTCTACTTTTCGGTCACAAATTACTTGTGTTGTTGCATTTCACCATAATATATTATGATATTTGTGCGTTTTTAAAACACGATGTCCAACGTTTCGTCATCGGATGGATTTTTTGAGAGCCTTCAATGGTGATTACATCCAAGCGAATGGCAAATGTCGCTGGGTCAGGACCCCAAGCAATGTTGCTGTGCCCATGGTTAAGAGTTGGTGTTCCTGGTTTGTTGGTCTTCCATTGAGAAGGGACCGTGTATTCTGACACGTAACGTGTGAAGAGCCGAGCTACTGTGTTTGTGAGGACTAGTGGAAGGTTCTTCAGGTTTTCAGGTCATATCCTGTCCCGACATGGTGTTGCTCGAGTTTTCGCCGGCGAAATAGAACGTCGGATTTCGGAAAGAAGAACTGGTGGAAGGTGGAACGATATAGGCCACTGAAGAGACCTGAGTAGTGATCGTGAAAGATTCTTCCCATTGTCTTTCTGAAAGTTGTTATTGTTTGGTCTGAGTCTTGTAACTGATAAAGTTTCGTTGGGCATTGCGAATGCTTTTCAAAACCTCTTCAGCTTTGACCAAACTACTGCCTTTTTCTCTTTAACGTCTTCTTTTACCACCTGTCTGCACTGTTTTGCAAGTTCGGACGTGAGTTAGCGGTTGCCTTCAGCTCGTGCGATTCCACGCTGCTTATTGCCTATTCAAGAACTTCATAAACCAATGAATGAGAGCTGTACATAGGTGAAAGCCTAATCGATTCCTCGTCATATGCACGTAATGTAGAAGTATAATATTTAGGTTTAGAAAGCAACCTACTTCGTATGAGGCAACATATCAGTGCTCATTATACGGGTATTTCTAAAAGAAAGTTACACAGAGAAGAAATAAGCTGTTTGTAAAGCATGTCGTCGATATACAGCGATGCAGACTTCTAGTTTTCATTCAATACTACGAAAAAGTTGTAAAGAAAAAATGGAAGGCAACAAATTTAAACCAACTGCATCATTGCACGCAGGAGATCGGCATTAATATCGCTAACACCGTTCGTATCTGCTAAAACTACACAGTGAGCTGTGGTCTCATCGCAAAATTCAAGGACCTAAAAGCAACCTAAAAATAATTGTAATCACTTCTAAAGCAAAGAAAATTTTGTGTAGAAAATGGATGCCATGCTTTTTAGATACTGACTGTCATCAGTTTACACATAATAGACAGTTCTTGATATGATAATGCCCTTCGCATTTCTCGAGAAATACAAACAACGCAGGATTCAGGCAAACCAGCAACAACTAGGGAAGTTTTAAACATTAACTGCAATTTTTAGAAATCGGACCATGAACAGCAACTAACTTGGTTGTTTCGTATGAGTGCGAACTTTCTCTTCCAGAATGTGGAGAGGTGACTGCCGCTGAAGTAGTGAAGGTGTTTGCTGTCTGATATTGCAGATCTGAAAATGATTACACCATTGGTACATCCTAACCAGCCAAAAAGACCGAAACAATCCTTTGCTATCATACTGCGTCAGCAAGTTAGATTTAGCACAAATGTCTGCGTGAATATTTTTTTTAAATCGATGTGAAACTGCCAGAGGATTACGAAGTACTTCCAATTACTACCTGCAGAAATGTTTACAACTTTTCCACTTTGAGAAACAGATTCAGAAAAAGAACATCGCTCTGACGCAAGAACTACAACTCTTACCATTTTTCTAGAGATTAGCAGGCACAAAAATTGGAAAAACACCACAATGCATTTTTATGTTAAAAATTACGTGGACATTGTGGAGAGCATGACCTCTGCAGAGGCCATTCTCTTTCCGATGGCTTTAGCGTACAGCGCCGTTTTCCACTACTTTTAATCAATCGATAGCACTTTATTTAAGATCGATGTTATGGCGGATGTCGGCTGTGGAGAGCTTTATTCTGCACTAAAAGTGTATTAAAGACGTTTCCTCATCTCATCAAAAGCGAGCTCATCAGCACTTTGATTGGTAACTAACTGTTATTTCATTTCTAGTAGCAATAATGCCATAGTTGCCGAGTGGAACTGTCGGATATAAAAAATACAGAAATAAAGTAAACATGAGCATCTAAATACTTCTAAGTGCCAACAGAAATGTTTCTGTATGATGGACCGAAATACAAGTATGAAAGAGCAAAGCTCTCAGTGTTGATTAATCACTGAGCGATTCGCGATTCACTAGACTTCATCGCACACCATAGAGGTTGTTGGCTGCATCCCTTGCTTGTACAACACTGAGTAACCCTACTGATGTATCAAGTCAGTGCTCTCAGGCGCGTCTGGCACCAAGCTGCCAACCTTGATGTGAACAGGGCACATGATGGAACGGAACGACCCAGACAGTATTTCACGGCACCTCTACCTATTGCGTTGCGCATGCTCTCTTCCATTATGGCGGAAATATAAGAAACACTAATGATTCTGAGATATTTGCTAAAACTCCGGACCACTGGTGTCTGCGGTGGGGACCGAGCATACACCTTCAGGGGCTAACGGGAGAGGATAAGAAACGCTAGCAAACATAATATTCGTAGCAACAGAGCGATAGATTAAAGTCTATTCTGTAATTCAGTGGTCTTCTCAACCCGTCCAGTCTTTTCCTTATTGAAAATGTCTATTGTCAAAAAACATACAGATCCATAACGAAACGAAATTAGGCATTGTCCATGCAGCTGGAAAGCAAATTAGACGTCGCGGCGTAAGTGTTAAGAAACCCTCCAAAACAACCAAAACGATCTCTTCATTCTGACATTATAGCTGCTTGAGAAACCCACCTCAACCTTCTGCCCACGCCTGGGTGTTCCACAGCTTGATTTGTGCACTGACGCTTTAGAGATATTGTTTCCATCCTTTAATTCTAAAAATTCTTCTTTGCCAAGGGTGTGCTTCTCATTAAGAAGATTCGGCCAAGGAGCTTCATCCTAAAATGTGTAGAACCTCTCTCGATGAAAAACTGATTGCAGCACTCAGATAGGCTAATAATATCTTGGTCATAGCTATCTCCAGTCCAGTTCGTTCCACGAAATCATCAGAAGAAATGTCATGTACAAATATGAATAACTACAGATGGTATATCATTCCGACACTAACACGGCATTCTTCGTCGTTCAAATAGAGAGATACTATTTACTTACAAGTTTAAGTTCTCGTGTATCAAAGGAATCTTCTGCTTTCGTGATGAAGTAGTTACACAGCTCCTCATTATGATACGTCTTTATTTCCTGCAACAGACAATTGAAATAGAAAACAACACCATGTGTAAACGGGGCCGCACCTGCCTGTCCTCTTTTTCAATCAAGTCAATACGAGCTTGTACAGATTATGAAAGAAAAGAATTGGGCTGTTGTGTTGTCATCATTGGTTGGACAAATTGTGGTATGCTATCCGCGATAAAACCACTTGTCCTTAATGTTCTAACATACACACAGAACCAAAAATCCGAAGGGCTCATTGTATTCACAATCGCAACAGAATTATTACTACACTCAACCACTTGTTTTTACGTAAAAGATAGAAACCCACTTGTTGTCCCCAAACTTTCTGTTCCTAAAATATGCTAATTTTATACTTCATTTCGAAGTGAGTTACGAGTAATATTTCAAGTTTTAAACAAAAAAGAAGCGAACTGATTTTGCTGTTGCGGTGACCTTTTCATCAGAAAGCTTTTTGACGGATTTTCCACTTTCCACGAGTGGATCATGTTCCACTACATTCTCAAGCACCGCTACTTCAAGCGTCGATTGAGGGAGTGGAGTGTCGCTAAGTTCCTCGGAGAGATCACTTTCCGACTGACTAAAAGTGAAGTACATAAAGTCACAGTATACAGTCACTTTCATAAAAAAGTAGTAAACGGTTCTTTAACGATATAGAAAGCGAACCCTTCCACGTCATCATTACAACTGTCGGCAGGCGAAAGTCTTTGAGTGCTGATAAACTCGTTAATGGCCTTCAAAGTCACAAAGTAACAAAATGTACTATGAAATGCAACTTGTTTCTCTAAGGCAGACATACTCATTTCTTGTTGCACCATCTTTTTCCCCAACATTGCAGTCATGAGCTTCGAACAGTTTCTGCGTTTGCTCAATAGTCTCAGCAACAGCCGTAATCTCACTTCCACGAACTCGTTCATACTGGAAATTCAGGTATGACAACTATGCAGAAACCTCTAACTTGTGTGGGCACCACAGTAAACCACTCAAACGTTTGTGGAAGACTTGGACAGCATTTATTTTTCTAGTGTTCAAGAAATCCGACCATAAACTTTAACAGGCGATTGACGTGGTTCCAATATAACTGAAAACAACGAAGAAAAGTTCACGTAAAGATAGTGTTTGCTTTCAGAAAAAGAAATGCTACTCAAGTGGTTCGTTCATAAAACATATCGTCAAGTGTTTAATTATGCCTTTACCAACGAGATCTGTTGCATATTAAAAAAAAAACATAGTCTTCAGTACATAAACTCTTCACTGAAGCAAACTTTTCTGTTATAATAGCTCGTTAAACCTCGTCGCTTATTTTGCAAATAAAGGCATTAGTGGAGTAGAGTTCTCTCAATACAAGGGAATGAGACGGAATATAACCCCAGTTTTTGAAGCCAAGAAGAAATATCACGGAAAAATATCAAAATAGTTCGATGTTTTTCTTCAATAAGCAGACACGAGGTTGTTATTATAGGATTTATTAGGACACAATAGCTGACGTTTCGGTGGTTTAGCCTTCTTCAAAGCCGTTTATTTGTTGTAAGTATTTAAGTTAGTTCATGGATAGCAGCCGCACGGAGTAATACATGGGCGATAACTCAGGCCATTGGATTAGCCCGAGGTATGGCGCTAGGTCACGCGTGATGACAAGACACTCCTCCTTGCGGTTCATTTCTGAATTTTTGGAATTGATCCAAAACGCTTCAAGAGTTTTACGCGCTGATGCTTTCGATTCCTGCGTGAGGATAGTGACTCCTACTTCAAAATCTTCTCCGTTGTGTTCCTGCATCCTAGGCGCGCCTAGTGGAGTGTTTTCTTCTATTTAAATTTACCGACTAGGTGTTCTGTAATGCGGACGCAAAGCGTTCAACCCGTTTCGCCAATGTATTCGTCCCCGCATGCTCTACAAGAGATGAGATAGACTGTACCCGAACTCATGCAATCACCGTCTCTACCGTTAGGGCAAATTATGTAGTTTTTCGTTATACATAGACGGTCATATAGGCGGTTGCGAACTAGCTGTCGTCTTAAAGTGTCCGATGATATTTCTATCACTCTTATGGAGTTCTCTAGACTGGCCCTTATTAAGCAACGTTTTACGGCTGTACTTATTTCGTTTGAAATAAAGGGCAACAGCGCGTAAAACTCTTGAAGCGTTTTGGATCAATTCCAAAAATTCAAAAATGAACCACAAGGAGGAGTGTCTTGTCATCACGGGTGACCTGGCGCCATACCTCAGACTGATCCAATGACCTGACACAAGCACAGTCCTCGCCCATGTATTACTCTGTGCGGCTGCTGTCCATCAACTAACTTAAATACTTACAACAAATAAACGGCTTTGAAGAAGGCGAAACCGCAGAAACGTCAGCTATTGTGTCCTAATAAATCCTATAATAACAACCTCGTGTCTGCTTATTGAAGAAAAACATCGAATTATTAATCAATGCCGAGGCTAAAAGAAAGTCAGTCGTGGGAATTGCTACGTGAAGTATCAAAATAATCCCATCGTCATCCCCAAAATACAATTATATAACCGTAGAGATAGCGAAAACCAAAAGACTTCGAGTGTACGTATCAACTTGCCTCTCGCAATAACAGCTTGAACTCGTTGATGTGTTGGGCGAGATTGCTGAACATCTGGGCCTCTTTAGCTCGATGCACTTTTAATGGATAGGAATATACTGGGCACACGACTAATGTGTCCATGTTGGAAAAACAGTTGATGCAATCCCTAGTCCAAAACTGGTAGAATAAGCGGTATTAGAGTAATCCTTCAACGAAACGTTGACAAACACACTAGCAAAACGCATGCTTGCACGCAGTGCTAAGGGTTTGCAAAAAATCCGACTCTCGTGAACTGTAACACGGAAAGTAAGAACAGTAGGGAAAACGAAAAAGAATGGACCTAACTCACCACTGCGGATTGGCGCAACAGATCAGTTTTGCAAAAATATCGGCTGCTTGCTTTGTACGCTCGAATCCTGGCATCTTGAAATGAAGTAGTGGTGTTAATAATGAAGAACAACACCTATAAAACACTTTAACTGAAAGACAGTTCATAACATGCATATCGATCGTTTAAGTAAATCGATAACTAGTAGAACAGAAATGTCTTGATCTACAGCGAATCACCAAGGAATTTGAAGAAAAAAAAAGACGGAATCATATTTGTTACAAGTATGACAAAGAGTAGTAGGAACAGTGACCACATAGCGCAACAACTTCAGGCCAGCACGATCTGGCGGCGAAATCAGATGGAGGGCAGCTAAGAAGCGAACGCGGGATTCGAACTTGAATATGTCAGGATCAACTGGAGCGGCCTTACCATCTATCCTGCGCGACATGTTCTTATCGCAGTGTCCGGTTTCTTGTTTACTACTGATTTAAAAAGTAGTTGAAGAATTGATGAATTAGGAATGTTCCATACTGAAGAGGTGAAAAATGAATCGTCGATGCATAAACCCCGTTTCCCACTTTGAAATTGGCAGAGCGTAATGTTATTTTTCTGACTTGGGCTAAATGTGGTATGCTCTCTTGATATACGTCGTAGCAGCTGGCTGATGTCGTTGACACAACATTGAGTTTTAGCAATGTTTTGGTTACTGATCGAGGAAAAGGTGATTCGCTTAAGGTTTTGAAAATTATTTGTTTTGTAAAATACAATGTTTGCTTAGATTATAGGGAATGGTTTAGTATAGCAAGCCAACACTACCCTGTTTCTAAACAGCATGCGGGATCCATCGATACACACGTGTTTCCCAGATCTGTATATTCCGAAGCAAACCCTACTGATGTGTGTACTATCACCTTGCACCTTCTATCTCGTTAGTCCTATAGTACATTGTATTGTCGGAAAAATGGAGGCTGTCAGATTTTTAAATCTATTTGTCCTCACCATAAAGGGTCAATACGGTGGTATGCAATGGCAGGATTGGAACCGCAGTATTCCCTAGGCTGTTTGATCCTTCCATCTCAAGGCAAAGACCAATGAATCTTCTCATTTTGAAGACACCTTTTCCTACAACACATTCTTCCGCTTTCGTTATTTGTTTGTCTTGATCACAACCAGCCTACAAGTGTTGGCTATAGGTAGTTGGTAGAAGACTACTAATTCTGCCCAACAAAGCAAAGAAAAGTCTGTTCACAACAGACTGACAGTAAGGTCCACTGGTTGCAAGGCACTACAATGTTAAACGACTGACTTCTGACTGCGTCAGATTCGTTGCAACCACTACTGTACTCGTTTTCTAATCCATCTCGTTCATATTCTCCAGCGAGTAACGTAGGACCTTCCATAGTTACACAGTCCGCATCCTCACACTTGCCACTGTTAATTTCGCTGATGAGTCAACCAGTGTTCAATTGTTGTTGAATCTGTTGACACGATTCAACGTTATAAACTTCGATTATTGGTGGAAAAAAGCAGTCCCAGACCACGAATGACTTCTAGAGAGTAGGTAAAGACGACAATAATGTGCTTCCTTGGCATATTGATACCAGACGTGTACGCAACCATCTCACAACACAACGGTGGCGCCTATGGTGAAGATCTGGAGACACCCTAGCACTGCTATCTCATGGTTCCAAGGAAAACCGACTCGACCAGTACTTAATGACATTCGCAACAACGATGAAAAAACTCTCAAGCAACCTTTGATGCACTTGCAAATCTCGGAGAGCTTCGTGGATGAAGCATGCGAAAAAACGAATCGAATGGTGGACGTGTTGGGATCCGCACATGGATAGTGAATATGGAAAGGATCCTCGTGGAATGCCGCCTGATGTGCAAGCCCACTACGATGCCCTGCAGTGCATGCTGGACGAAACTCAACTGGTTGATCGGACAGAATTCTTAACACTAGTGACCCTTCTACAAGATATGTTTGAAGCTAGGATTAGGCTCGAAAAAGTCCGTCTGGTGTCCATATCTCGTTAACTGTGTAGAAGCCTTTGAAAACAAAAAAACGGAACGAACGAACATCAATAGTGCGCCAGTTCTGCACAAAAAAGACTTCAATTTGTTACTACAGAGCTGACCAGCGTGACCTATATATTTTCGCCAGTAATATATATTGTATTGTATGTACATATATATATATATATATATATATTTCTAGACCACACATAGAGCTTAGAACTGAGGAGCTAAATTTGAGGAAGTATTGACCTTCCGAGCCTTCGTTGCTAAACTCGAAAAGAGTCTTGTGGGCTAAAATAAACCATTAAGAAAAGAACGATCCTGTAAAGAGCCCGTACCTGCCAACCGGGTGCAGCGCTTGATTCTATAGAAACCTTTCGTTGTGTAAAAGTGGCATGAGATAAGCATGGACAACTTGCTAGCTTCCCTCAAGGTGTAGATACAGTTTACTTGTTATAAACAGCCGTTTACAAATCTCATACATTATGAATCATTGGCCTATAAAGTTTCTAGTAAACCTGGCTCACAACAGCAAACACGGGCGTACATTTTACAGGTACACCTGTCTTTTATCTAAATCGAAATCAGTTCAACAAAGCTGAGAAATCCACTAAAATATGGCTTTAGCGAATATGTAGTCAATTCCATTACATCTTAAACATTTACACTTCACTTGAGTTCGAACCGTGGCGATATAGAAAGGACTCCCAGTTTTATTCACCAAACAGACATCGCTTCGGCTTCATTGAAACCCAGTGGCAGCACCGTCGTCCTTGTATGCTCTTCTGCACTCGGTCTTCTTTTTGTTCTAAAAGTAGCATCATTTTACAAAATAAGCCGGTCCTTCCAAGAAATAGTCGCTGCTCATTCAGACGGTACAAACCGACCACACAGAACAATAACAAGTTGATTTCTGTGTACAAAAACGAGATAGTATTCCTCGATACTTAAGGAAATGTCCATAGAAAGACACCAGGCGGTAACTCACATAGCTTTTGAAAAAAAAAAACGAAGAAAAAAAGAATCTTCGAAAACGCAAGACGGTATTTTCCGCACCTGTTCATAAATCTACAGAAAACAATATTCACAGAACAACACACACAGCAACTGAAGGGAGAGAGAACGTAAGAAGCGTAATGAGAAGCTAACAACAGACACGATAAAATTGTGTAGATGGCAGTCTGATAGCAATTCTGTCAATGACGCAAACAATATACCTTAGCTTGCAACATAATGAAGGATTAAGAACGAGGAACTTAACGTATTTACGACTAATCACATTTTCACCTTAAACCTACACACAAGAGAGTGAAGAGTAGCATACCCAATAGCAGCCCAATGTTCAACAAAAGCTTTGAAAGGCTGTTTCGTGGTAAATAAACTAAGAAATGCGGATAACAAAGGAGACTTAGAGCAATAATAATCAAAACAACAGTAGCTTGACTAGGGTTTTCTCTTTCCTATTCCACGAGGTCTTCCACGTGGTCTTCCACGAGTTCCTTCAGTAGCCTTATTTTTGTATTTTGTTCTATGTGTTCTAAACGGGAGCACCAATCCTGATGTTTGTATGGGCTTCGAAGGTCCAAGACTGCTCTGGGTCGAGGACTTTTTTCTCTTCGAGTGTGATCTATAACACGTCTACATACAATGGAAGTCGAAAAAGTGCAGAAACTGCGATTCGAAATGAATTATGTTATCGTTTTCTTCAGCGACTACTAAGAAAAAGTTTCATCACCACATTTATACCGTAGTTACTAAAATCCTCTATATCCTACACCCTGTTCATCGCCGCTACAAAATACCACCTAGTGAGGTAAAAATATAATCATCATATTTTTGCAATCAATCAAAAACTAGCTGCGCCATAATAAGATATTATACAGTAGCTTGGATGACGAGAAAGATTACGGTCTCTCGGTTGCATCCACCGCTAGCGCTGTGTTTGCATCGTTGGCTTTCGGCTGAGAAAATTTCCTATATGCAATATTCTCCACACGACCGAATAAATCGCCGCCGGCGTCCTCTCTTACCACACTGTCGCCCAGATCCACTGTAATACCTCGCTCTAGAAAAATTACATTTTGATAAATACTGAAGACATGCTAAACCGAAATATTTTTAAAAAGTACTGAAATCGTCAGCCAACTTTGAAGCAAGCGTGGTGGTGTGTCTCAAACCAGAACGTTCGTCCTAAACTGAGAAAGTAGTATTTACGCACAGTTCTGTAAAACTACTAGTACATAAAATTATGCACGTACCCTTTCAACCTCAATTTTTCTGATCTTTGGGAGACGAGGTTCCCCCTCTAACTGATAACCCGTATTGATGTTCTTTCCCTCACTGACTTTGTCCATCTCTTTCCTTTTCTTAACGCATTCGATTCTGCTTTTCTGAAATTTCGATTGTCATCTCCACGACATAGCATAAACAATAAGAAGGAAAAAGTTACAGTACAATTTACTATCCAAAAACAATGGAACTATATAGAGGGTATATCTTTCTACTTCAGTTCAGCAAGCACGAGGTGCTATTTTATTTCTTTATTTACGCACAAGCTAACGTTTCGGCGGATTTCGCCTTCCTCAGAACCTGGAAGGGTCAAGTTGACAGCAATCCACTCGGCCAAACACCTCCATAACCAAACAGAGAAAACTCTAAACCAATATTTCAATCACATTTAGCACAGCTCTGCACACTCACCGCTTTCTATGAGTCTTCCACTGAGTATGTCGCGTGAAGATCGACCGCACAGAATTCACATGGAAGCGTAATGTGCCCCTCCCATCAGAATAACAGGTTTATATACTGTCCAATATCACGCGTGATAACAAGGCATTCCTCCCTGCGGTTCATTTTCGGATTCTTGGAATTTATCCAGAATGCCTCTAGAGTTTTGCGCGCTTGTGTTCTCGATTCTTGCGCGAGGATCGTAACCCTAACTTCAAAATCTTCTCTTTTATGTTTCTGCGTGCTATGCGTACCTAGTGGAGTACTTAGCTTACGTTTGCCAGCTAGGTGTTCTTTTATACGTACGCAGAGTGGCCAACCCGTTTCGCCAACGTATTCGTCCCCGCACGCTTTACAAGAGATCAGATAGACTGTACCCGAACTCATGCAATCACCGTCTCTACCATTGGGGCAAATTATGCAATTTTGCGCTGCACATAGACGGTCGTATAGGCGGTTACGAACTAGTAAGAACTAACTAAGGTTAATAGAAAGTCGGACTTGGGAGTTACTACAAGAGGGTCTCATACGCAATTGCGAACTTTTCCACGTCCACCGAGTAGCTGAATGCTAGAGATGCAACTCTGGCGCACTACAGGAGCGAATGTACACTTCAGCGATACTCGTTCGAGTCACTCATTGCTGACGAGAGATAATATAAGCATGGAGATCACCTTAAATACATCCAAAATTGGTTCCTTAAAGCCAGTGATCGGAATGGAAGGCTGGGAACGTTTTTCCACCACTCATTCAAGTTATTCCGGTTCGGTTTCTTGACATCACTTTTCGATACGATAGGTTGGAAAGACATTTCGGCCACTTTTCCGCTCAAGTTCTGCTTCAGTCTATGCTTTTTCTTCCTTGAGGACACAACCCAAAAAGTAGTAATGGAAAGTTCCACAGAACGTTAAGAAGATACAGCAATTCCATTCTTTTAAAGCTTTCCACAGCATGATTACATTAAAGCGACGGTTGACTATCTCAAAAAAAAAATAAATATCGTACCCTTTTGCTGGCTTCTTAATAAATCTTTAAAGAAACTCTCAGATAATCCACAGTGTGAGATCTGATAAACTGAAATAACCACAAGCAAATTTTTAAAAAATGCCAGTGTGTTCTAAACCGTGCACCGGCAAAGTTGCTCTTGTCTTTCGCTAACCTTCTGTTTTTCCGGTGTTGAATCTTTAGCCCCATCTTCTGCTTGAGCGGAATTTTCTTGCACACCTTCTCATGTAATTATATACCGGCACCCGCCTCATTACAATCATTGGAACTCTTACAATCTATTAAGGCGCGTGTGGCGCGAAGTCGAATCGAGAGCCCATGGCCCACCAAGCCTTCCATCCTTCGAGATCGGCAAATTGGTACCAGATTTGTCTGCGAGGATAGCAGCACTGGCTCGATACATCGGTAGGCCACCACAAGTTGTTGTAAAGGCCAGATATGCATTCAATCACCTCCTACGATACGTAATGAAGTCGAATGCATGGCGCATCCCCCAGGGATTGATCAACGCCAAGAGCTTTATACTTTATTTTTACAATCTATTAAATTAGCACGGTTTTCAGCAAACTTTTCATCAAAAACTTATCTTGGCACTCCTAAGCTGGTTCGCCATAGTAGATAGTTGACACTTCAACAGACAAATCTCGTTATCCATTTTGGAAATTTTCTTTTGCAGTTCTTCAGCCTTCACCTCTTCTTCGATAATATCAGCATCGAGTTTTTCAGTATCTGCCTTCAAAAGTGAGAAGGAAATTGTTAGAAAAATAAAGAGAAAGAAATTGTATGAGTTACGGACATGTATGTTAGATAAAAATGGAAAAACGAAAGCTCTGTGATATATATATATATGTGCATATATATATATATATGTACGCACGAACATGCACGATAACCCATGTATAAGCTGCGAGCGTAGCGCAGTGACTAGAGACGGCCTACAATACACATTGGATCGATCCCGCGCCCGAGGTCCACAAGGCCTCCACCCCTCCGAGGTCGGCAAATCGGCACCAAACTGGTTTTGGAAGATAGCAGCACTAACTTAACACCTCCATCGGTAGACCACCGCAAGTCATTGTACAGGCCAGATTGCGCTCAACCATCTCCAATCTAACAATGCTTAATGACGTTGTATGATTGGCGTATTCCTCAGGAATTGATCAATGCCGATAGCTTTGTTCTTTATTCTTTTCGAACACATGCTTGGATAGCTGGATCCTTGGACGGCCCGTCTTCACTGGTTGTGCGGGCTCCAGCACGACTCTCCGAAGACCTGCTGGTTTAACAATTGTGGATCCTTGGAGTCCCAAGGATAGCCTGGCCTAAGTCTGCCTCAGGTCAGGTCGTCACCACCACAAGCAGACGCAGCCTTTGTACATCAGAGGAAGATTTGCCACCAAACAACTAATCTAATACCAGGACGGTGGTGGATCCTGCCATTAGTTTACTTTTGCCTGGCTTCCTGATGGAAACACCGAACTCTTTTTCAGCTTGGGAGACACTGCCGGGAGAATGAATCATCCCACTGTATATTACAGCCCGGCACCCAAGAACACCGCCTAGCAACGATGAAGCGGTAAGCCGTTGGGAGGATCGTATATGCATATGCATATATATACATATATATGCATATATACATATATATACACATATACATATGTATATATGTATACACAATATTCCGAAAACCGACTTTCATTAAACCTCGATAACAATGATCAGTAAATTTTTACATGACTGAGTTGACACCAGGTTGGTATAAAAGTTTTATTCGCTGACCTATTGATTGCAACGCTATGTGCCACCAAATAAAGTACCGACTTCAAAGATGCTGAGATATTTGCAAAACTCCGGACCGTAGGTGTCTGCGGTGGGAAACAAACGCGCTATTGTCCTCTCCGGGGAGTAACGCGTTCACCACCACACCATGCGGGTCCTTCGTTTCGCCTGTATTTCAGCTAGTTCTATCGATCTTTTGCCGTCATCAATCACGCGTCAGCGGTATTGATCTGGGGGTCCAAATCGGCAACGAACCCAGTTAAGCTGAGGCTGTAGTTATAATCACAATGTTAACTTATTATTTACTGCCTACTCTTTTTTTCGTTCCCCACCGCAGACACCTGCGGCCCGGAGTTTTGCAAATATCTAAGCATCGTTGTTGTATTTCGCAATATATCCTGCCATTAAAAAGGGTAGGCAGCAAATAATAAGTTAACAAAGTACCAATTATTACAGGACACATTGGCTGCTCAACATAGATCATATTGAAGGCGACGATCGATCGACACTCGTGCTTTATGAAAAGTCACCGCTGAGTGAAGTTGCCCATTCGAACACTGATCGTTCCACTGGATTCGACTCGATGCAATAACGAACACCCACGTGGCGTCAACGACCAGCTGTGGATCATTGGTTCGGATCAACGCTGCTCCGAGGAAGGCGAAGGCGACGAAACATTAGCCAAATAAAAATGTCGACAACGTGTCAATTCAGTCGTGTAAAAAATTATATATATATATATGTATATAAATGTATGTTTATGTACATTTCTACTTCTCTCTCTACGTATACATACATGCACACATACGTATTTACATAGCTATACGGATAAATAAGCATATATATATATATATATATATATATATGTTTCTGTATAAAAATCGAGCCGAACATGAGTGGCACCTTCATATCCCCTAGCCTTTTTTCTACCTCGCGCTTTGTGTCGTCGACGTTACGACGAACGGTTTCGAGTTCCGCACTCTATAAGAAAATAAGTTTACCTAAAAGAAATGCTCTGTAATGGGTATAACCCGATATTTCCAAAACTCCTGTCAATACGTGCAAGAGCATTCACGTAAGTATTAAAAGAAAATATGATTGCAAAGTACTGCAAATAAAGGCTGGAATTACTCATATTGCTATAAATGACTGGAACCTTTTGAATAATCCTCTTCCTCTTTTCTTCCACCTTTTTGAGGAGATATCTATGATATTCCTTCAACTCCAGCAGCTTTTCCTGTGCTTCGGCTATTCTACGACACCGCTCCTCGTAGACGTGGAGAAAATGTTCATAGCCTTTCCATTTTTCAATCTAAATTTCCGAAAATAAACTGCGCTAATTCATTTGACGATGTTCCCAGTTGGAACAAATAATAATAATAATAATAATAATAATAATAATAATAATAATAATAATAATAATAATAATAATAATAATAATAATAATAATAGACGTGTAGCAACGTTGCTTACAGTCAGTGGTGACATTAATATGGTTGGAGCATCTTTCTTTTTCCTGAAAAAAAAAACAGTAAAACAGTCCGTTAAAGGGCACCTCTGCTCGGGCGTCTTCCGAAGCTTTCACATAAGTGTCCCGTTGTCTCGATAATGCTTCAAATTTTTGTTCGAAGTCGTTCTAAAGATTAATTCTCGAAGAGACTTGAAATAATCAGGAGATTCTATAAAAATAAAGAATATTTACTTTCATATTCTCTAGCTCTACTGCCATCTGCGCTTCCCTACTTTCGCGTTGTTCCTTCAACCTTCTAAGGGCTTCTTCTTTACATGAAACCTCTGCTTTCATTTCTTCTAATGCACGCTTAGCCGATGATATTTTCTCGTCGATTTCAGCCTGTGGAATACAAGGTAGGATCTAGCAAACTGGCTCGCTATTTTAACATTATAACCTTTCTCAATATTTACCTGTTTTTTCTTCTGACTGGTTGCTTGGCTCCTTATTTCCTCAAGTTCACATGCAAGTGATTCTGATGTCTTGAGAAGCTCTTCTTTTTCTAATTCCATGTCGTTCAGACGTCTAGCGTTATCCTCATTTTGCTTAATAACCTGAAAATCAAATTGCTTTGTCTGCATAGTAAAGCACTAAACAACCTAATTCTGTCATCATAACAGACGCAGAAAGGCAAAGCACACGTTGTACACACAAGTGTTCTGTAAAAGTACTGCAGTCATTTATCCCTCTTTGAAATAAGCCGACCTAAACAGTGGAGATGTCCATAAATATGGTTTCCTGGATTCATGAAGTCAGCCAAGTAAAAGTCTGCACCAGGTCATCACCACCACAAGCAGTCGCAGCCTTTGTGGATTAGAGGGAGATCTGCCACCATGTGACTAATTTGATACCAGGACGGTGGTGCTTCCTGGTATTGGTTTTCCCTTAGCTAGGGCGTCTTGATGGAAACGCCGGACTCCTTTTCAACTAGGGATATCCTGACCCTCTGCTGTGTATCGCAGTCCGACACCAAGGAACACCTCCTAGCTATGATGAGGCGGTAAACCGTTGGGATAAGTGCTATACAGTTATGAAAAAACAGTGTTACATGAGATCGTGTGTTGGTAATAAAAATGACTAAGTGAAACTGCGTAGAGAATTAGATGTGGTTTTCTGACGGTAAATGAGCACGCAGGCTGACATTTGACAGATGGGAACAAACAACACGCATCTAATGCACTTGATTTCTGAATTAAATTCAATTAATATTTTGACGATGACAGGATGGCGTTCATTCCGTATTTCGGGAAAGATTCTCTTTAAAGTGAAAAAATAAAGAATCTCTCAACTGGAAGTGAAAACTACTGCATAGTAAGAAAAATACCCTATGAGGCATTAAATAAAAAATTGCATAAGAATCAAATAACTGGGTGTTCAATATATCTCGTCCATACAGGTAAGCATGAGGTTTTCCAAACACACTATAACAAGGAACAGAGCGCATCCTCAAGTACTTAAATAAACCGAAACCACCTTCTCCTTCTCCTCCTGCAGTGTTGAGAATTGAGTCTGGAGTTTTTGCAGCTGAGAAGCCAATGCCTCTAAAGCGTATTTTTGAAAAGTAATCCTATTGAATAGAAAGGCACCACATATTGAAAGAAGGTGCAGGTAATCGTTAATAAAAACAAGGAGGTCACTCTAACCATTGTCAGCATCCAAATTAGACAGAATTTCAGACTTTGCTGCAAGCTCTTTTGACAATTCAAGTTTTTGCTTGCGTTGGCTCTCAATCGCCTGAACCTCCGCAACAATTGCCTTAATAATATTACTGAGGTGCTGAACAAAAATGAAAGAAATCTGCAAGGAAAATGATAGACACGGAAACATACAGTTAAGTCAAAAGTCGCCATTCGATCTGATATTTCTTTTCGAATGATTGCCTGCTTAGTTCGCATTTCTGCAGATAGAATTCATACTATTTATCCACAACGATCAGTTTGGGATATTTGTGAAAAAAGATTACGCATGTTCTAGAACAAACTTTTTAGTTGATGGTAATAAAGGATAAAAAGATAGAGCTCTCGAGGTTAAACAATCCTCGAAAGTTGCGCAATGCAATCGACTTCATTAGGCATCGTTAGAGGTGACTGAATGCATATATGGCGCGTACAATGGCTTGCGGTTGCCTACCGGCGTATCTAGCCAGTGCTGATATCCTACAAGATAAGTCTGGTATCAATTTGCAACCCCGGAGGGATAGAGGACTTGGTGAGGTCATAGCGCGGCATCGATCCGATGTGTATTATCGTACCTCTAACCTTACAATTTTTGCAGTTCCCCAAACGAGTTCAAAATATTGGACTGTCAGAATCATTGCGCTCTCAATGTAGTATGGTTGAACGTGATTGGAACAGTTAACAGGTTGGTATCGAACCTGTGATGAGACCAGCTGCTATTGTTCTTGGCGGTTGCTGAAGGTCATGAATATCACTACGCAGTTTTTCCTCAATCTCACCAATTCTTGACATTTGTGTTCTCAAGTCATCCAATTTCGTTCGAACTGGAAGAAATACAATCTGAACTCAAACTATGCACATTCCTATGCGCAATAATGGTCAAACTGCCCACATGGATTGCCTGTTCAAAACAACCCAAACAAAACAATATGAAATGCAAAAAAAACTCAGAAAGCATCCAAATAATAGCGGGCGAACCTCCATCCTTGTTCGTCACTTGATTAGCAGATTCCAAATCTAAAGTTCCCAATCCAGCTGACAATGCCTTGGCGCTAAAATAAAGGTGTTACGCATCTTTAATGCGCCTTATATGGAACCCTAAAGAAACTTATGAGAAGGATCTATGTTAAACAGATGGAACTAACTAAGAAAGATTTGCAGTAACATTCTCCATTGTCATTTTGCGTTGACATTCAAAATTTTCAAGTCTTTCATTCCGCCTTCGATCCAATTCATTACGTTTTGCCAGTTCATTTTTCATATGGGCAATGACTTCCTAAATTGAATATGAGAAACCCAGCAAAAAGAAATCGCAACGATACAAAACAAGCTTTACAGCGAATAAGAAAAGCAATACCGGAGAAGACACCGTCTAGTAGTTCACCTTTTTCATAGCGTTGCTACGTTGCAGCTCTTCTAAGCGGACTCTGTCTGTAGTAGATTGCGATTCCAAAGCATTAAAGTGTGCCATGAAATTTTCCATGTTCACTGATAAAATAGTAAGTAGTTATACAGTGTATATGGAACCTGAAAGCACATATTAACTGGTACAACCAAATTTCGACCAATATTGAACAGGCGCGATATCATCCACAAAACGCATCGACGACAATATAAAAATCGTGTTTCAGAAGCAGAACGTTTCAGATATGGAAGACTAACGACGAAATAAGTGGAAAATTCCACAAAAATGCAGCTATGAGCTGTTTGACTAGAATACATTTCAAAAATAACACAAAGAATAAAAGTAATGAACAGTCGCATACACGCAGTGATAAGCTGAGGTGTTTTTGATGAGTCGATCAGTGAGGTTAGTGAGTACTTTCGAAAGGCTGATGCATATCTGTTAAAATAGTAAGTTTTACTATTGGTTCAACCGTCTGCTACACTGCAGTACTTGTATGCTAACGAGAAACCTGGAACATAGGTAGTTAAACCTTCGTATAAATAATAAACCAGTAATACAACGAAGTTATTACGCAGGAAGAAAACATAGAGAACAAAGAATATGCCCCAGCGCCAATTCTGAAACTAAGGAAAAGATGGTGTATACACACAGGTGTAGGAGCAGTCGCATCACAGGAAACGAATAGAATTTGCTATGGTACTTTTATTACAAAACATTACGAAATTGATACAAGAACTTTAAAGGGGCAAACTGTTGAAAATGAGAGGATTGAAATCCTTTTACAAATTCATTTCAACTGTGGTGCTGAATAATCAATGTCATTCAAGCAAAGTCTTTATTATTTACTTATAGTTCAAATAGGAAATGCGCAGTAATATGAAAAGAGAACAGTCTCCACAAGATGAAGATTCGTACTTATATGATCGAAATTAATTAATATAATATTGAAACTACTGCCTATAGAGCCGTCCTACCTGTATCACCTACACTCTCGCCGATCGTCAGGTGACTCGAGCGTGCTCCAGTAAATCTTCTATTTTTCCCTGTTGCGTGCAAGAGCAGCCTAGTGGGCCCTACTCGCTCTAGGGGTTGGCTGAGCATCATATTTTTCTTCTAGGCTTCTCGTGAAGAACTCTGACCATCGTGCCAATGTTTCTCCTGCAATACGTTTGACAACCCGAGAAATCCAATCACTAACGATTGTTGTCCATCGGTTGCCGTTCATACACATTACGTGTCCGGTCCACCAAATCTCCAACACTTTGACACATAGAACGGCACTTTTCATTTCTGATCGTTGATGCAGGTTGGAGCTTCACTCATCTTGCACACTATTTTATAGGAACATTTGGTACTTATGCACGTGTAGTGCTGGTGTAGCAGAGTAGTTAGACGCGCTTTCAAAACACGCGTAATATTTGGCTCTATCCTATACAACATGAGCATGCCACGAATTTCGTTCTCCTTGAGTGAGAAATTGGTGCCAGATTTCTCTGGGACGATAGCAGCACTGACGTGTGCATTAACAGGCCAGATATTCCTTCAATCACCTCTAACGATACTTGATGAAGCCGAATGCATGACCCATCCTTGAGGGATTGATGAACGCTCAGAACCTTATCGTTTGATCCGCGTGATTAGTGTCAACACCGTAAAAAAATGTGAATATGAACCCAACTGTGTAATTACTATCTTTTTTCATTCAACTGGTTTTTTTTTACAAAGAATAGGACAGACTTTTGTCTAAATAGTGGACTGTTCAAAGCCTAGATTGAATAGAAATCTATAAAGAATAATGGCTACACAATCGTTATATTACCACAGTATTTTCTACACGACCTGTCTTCATGTACTGTACAGAACCTAGCTCTTCTTGCATTCAGTTCGTTTGCACGCGTCCATCATCGGATGTCTTCGGATTTGTGTGTAGGCTCAGTTTCTGTTTGAAGATTTCCGTCTAATTCACGAATGTCGTTGAATAATGATCGATTCTCCAGTATCTGAAAGTTAATACTTGAATATCTCTACAAGAATGCTCCTCGGTCTTGTCAACCGGAGACAGCTTTCCACAGTAATCTCATACTAATTGCCTGACCAAAGAGCGATGGCAGGCTTGGATGTCCTACGGCAGGGTCGAGTTAGGACCTCGAGCGTATCAAAAGGCAACACCGCTACTGCGCTAACCGCGCCCTGTTCTCTTCCTATACATGTGTACTTGTCCACATTTTTGGCTTGTCACCTCACCGTTTAGTTAGGCGATATTCTAAGAGCATTTTCATGCGGCGTCGAACTGCTCATCGTTCTGGTAAATTTAACCAAGCTTGAAAGGAGTTTGACATGATCGCATGCTAATGTTGCTACAACTCAACGTAAAGGATTTCTGCCATCTTGGAAGATAACAAATAGGAAGGCAGCTAATTTCATTTGTACGACGACCAGCGAAGGTTCACTATATTACGAGAGTTGGAGAAGTAAGTAACCTAGCTTTGACCTATACAACTCCGAAAAGTGCATTTCGTTTTTGGCGTTTCGAGTTTTTCTTCCATCATAATTACCTATCTCAAGTCAGTAAAACGGTCTATTGGCAACAGCTACGTATTTAACTTAATTCTTGATATCAATACCATACCTAAACCAAAATTTTTCCACGGTACAAAATGACAAAATGTCCATAATTCGACAATTGTCGGAAATAAATCGGGCATTTTAATCGAGTATTTACTTGTTCCTTGGTACGACTACGAAGGCGCCAAAATGGGGAAGACGAACTACTATGGAACATCGACTCGAATCATCGACTCTGATGAAGACGGAGATGTCGAAACGTTGGGCAAATAAATCTATTTATCAACCCCGTGTAAATTCAACAATTCTAAATACATGTTAAGTCGAGCGTTTTTTGGTAACCCCTCAATATTACGGTGATGACAGTCGAGCGTTGTCGCCAATTCGAGTGTTCCTCACACCTAGATGGCCCTCTAGCCGACTTTGCAACAACTCGCTGTTGACAGAGCGCTGGCTCAGATTTTTGTAAAGTAAAAAGATTCACATCAACGGTGGTAAACCATGAGAATCAGTAAGATATGGTCAATTTATATACGCTAACCTCCACCCTTCTTTACATGCTAGTAGCGGTTACAAATATGCAAAGGAGGCATTTACGTTGATCGACTACTCAAGCTTATTTCACTCATTTTCTTTTCCGCTCTGCTACATAATTCCTCGCCTTGCACTTGTCTGGTACTTGTAACAACATTAACAAGACGTAAAGGAAGGAATCAGGTACTGCTATGGGTGTATTCCGTTCTACCCAACGCTTCTATACTAACGGCCCATTCAGGGCAGAACAACAGGATTGAGGTCCTTCAACATCTACAAACTTATTTATTTTTACTGCTGTACACTTCCAGAATATGAGAACATCCTAAAATGCATGGTTTTGAGACTATGCGAAAGTAAGTAAGGTGCATGTTATTTCGCTGGACGTGATGGAGTCCACCATCTAAATGAGCATGCTATTCGGGGTTTATATAAAGCAAGCAACCAAAGTATTTCATTCGCTAGCTGAGGATGCGCCACTAACTCCGTAACTAACCAGCTGCAGATCGCCCTACTTATACGTCCAAGCCCTCAAGTCGACTAACCTGGAAATCCAGCAAAAATCTTTTAAGTACCTGTTGTAATGCTTTCTCGCTGATGTGTTCGATACCGTCAGTGTTGATGGATCGATGTGCTCCATCACCTGTGCCCGATTCTTCATCACATGAGCCATTTACCGAGTCATCCAAATGACACAGTTTTGGTCTTCACTGAGCCTCATTTTCACAACGTATTCATCGTCTATGAACACACTTCGCACTATGAAATTGTAGCTGAAATTATTAAACATTAATAAAATACAAGAAATGTAAGAGCACAGTTGCTTACTCGAGGTATTTGGTTTGCAATGTTGCAAGTTCCACATGCTGAGCATCCGGCCATATAACGGCATCTTCGGGAGAACAGTGAAAGCCAAATGCCTAAGAACCCTTTCGAATTCCTGTATTTTGAAGAATAGGAAAAAACAAATATACTTCAATTATCTTTAGCTGCATTTATACAACTATTCTTTGATTCCACGTTTGTTAAAAAACCAGATAATGCAAAGTAGTTTAGTGTTTGCGGTTTCAATAAACAGTGAACCAACTGTCAGTGGATGTTATGCGAATCACAGCTGAAGCCCTAGCTGACAGTTGAGTTGGAATGTCCCAACGTAATGCCCTTGGCAAAAGCAGAAACCTTGTTATCGGTTTCTCAAGTACTGTACACCTCTGGATCGAAGTGCACACTGCCGTATTTCTACTTGTGACTCACTGTCAACATCGTAACGCTTTCTCTAAGTGTACATTTCAACGGCATCATTACAGATTGATGACGAACATCAGCTCACGGCGATAAAGATGTTCAACGGTCTCCGTGACGCCTTCGAATTTCTGTACGAAGCGGGCTCCCGAAATTTCATACGAATTCATCAGATACGCATGGAGTTTTCCTACAATTTCTCTCATCAAAAACAAAGCACTAGTCGTCCCTGGAATCTGTGATTCTTTCAAAATCGAAATTTTGAGAAAAGTAGCACAACTTGTGTACATCTATTATCAATTATTTTTGTATCAGGATCAAACGTTTTTTTATGTTTTGGTAATTGCACCATGCACCAACAAGGGGGTGAAGCGGCGCAACATGGGCTAAGTGAGATGTATGCAGATCTTACCTACTTAGCGTGGACGGCCTGTCCTCACCAGTTGTGCTGCCCCAGCATAATCTCCATTTTTCCGAGTTTTGCTGGCTTAGCCAAAGTCTGCCCCAGGTCGTCACCACCACAGGCAGTCGCCGTTCTTGAGGATAAGAGGGAGATTTGTCACTACGGCCAGTTTGATACCAAGACAGTGGAGAATCCTGGCAGCGGTTTAGTCTTAGCTGGGCTTCCTGGTGCAAACGCGAAACTCAACTTAGGAAACGCTGCCGGGGAATGAATCCCCACTGCACACCGTGGCCTGACACCCGACACCCAGGAACACCTTCCAACCACGATTAAGCGGTAAACCATTGGGAGAATTCAGATTTTACATCATGATAATGTAAGAATACCTCTCAACTGTTTACCACTTCGTCGTGGCCAAGAAGTGCTACTGGATGTAGGACTGCGATTTACACCGAGGAGTTCATTTCCTCAGTGAGGCATCCAAGCTGAGAACGCATCCGATGTTTCCAACCGGAGGTACACTTAAGATTATTGAATGTGCCACGTTATCAATTTGTCTAAAAATGCATGAAATAAATATGAAGCAAGAACCTATTCGCAGTTGCTTTAATGGAGCTGAGTAGTGGAGTTCAGCACCCTAAGCGCGATAGTGCTCTACTATAGGAACCACCACATCTGCACAAAACGACATGCCCTTTGCAAAAGACTAACACGGTCTGAACCTAGCTAGTTCTTTCACCAACACCATGGTGAAATTTTGCAAAGTTTACTCGATTATGTGGCCTTCCCACTTAACGAGTTATTGTCCCAAACAAAGATTTGAAATGCCTCTGCAAAACAATGTATCATTTGAAAATTCTACATCAATATGTCATAAACTTACCGAATTCTTATCAATATCCCTCTTTTGTACGATTGCACTTGATTTTGTGACAAAATAATGCATGCTTCTTCCGAACTGCAATGGATATGTCACAGCTCATAATTCGTTCTGAATGAACTGTACATAACATGCATATCGATCGTCAAACTAAAGCCATAACTAGTAAAACAGAAATGTCTTGATTCACAGCAAATCACCAAGGAACTCAAAAAAAAGTGACGAAATCACATTTGTTACAAGTAGGGCAGAGAGTAGTGAGACCAATGGGCAGACTGCACAACAACTTTAGGCCCACACGATCCCGAAACGTGAGCGCATGAAGGGCAGCTAAGAAGCCTGTGCAGAAGTGGGCGCGAAATTTGAATTTGAATATGTGGAAAAGCAACCTAGTTTGTCATTTTAAAACTGGCAGAGAGGAGTGTGATTTTTCTGACAGGTGCTAAATCCAGCGTGCTCTTTTTGATGCACGTACTGATAGCCGGTTAAGGTCGTTGGCATAACACTAAGTTTTCCCATGGTTTAGTATTGCAGGCGTGCAGCACGAGATATCATTTCCAGTGTTTCATTATTATTTGAATGAACTGACTTCGTAGTTATTCCTAGCTCCCTCGCTCTCTCCCTAACATAATTTGACGACTAGTCGACAGCAAAGTGGTCTAAGAGAAGTGTAGCTCTGCTATCGCTCACAATGCTGCACCAAAGCTGTTAAGGATTCCTGAAGGAATTCCGGTAAATTAGGTATAGATCTCTTAGTGTGCTTCTCTTAGCCGAAGTGCTCGTTTTTAGCAAAACAAAAGGAAGCAGTGCAAAATACCACTATGACTCAAGAAGGAGCTAACTGATCTTCAAAAACCGCACAAATTAGGAGCTGCTGAGCAACGCGGTCTTGATGCTTCAGTACTGAAAGTGCTAAATTCTGTTTCAGTGTACCCCGAAGTCGTACTTTTTCCTTCCCACTAGGTCAGGGTTAGAGTTTTGAAATGTCAGCAACGGGGTGTCTCATATCGAGGTTTTGCGTCTTTACATTGTATTTTTATGAGCGTCGTTTTCTTTCTCAGCAATCAAGAGGTTGTTGCACAGCATACGTTTACTTCCATGGAAGAACACACATACAATACAACAGTAGCTGACGTTTCGGCGCTATAGCCTTCTTCAGGCCTAGAAAGGTACACTGATAAGCAATTTATTACGCAAAACGCTTCAATAACACAAACAGAAAGATGAGAATCTCTATGGCAATCACATGGTCAACTGCTTCTCGAAAACCCACCATTTTTACGTGCCTTCCACTGGATGGGTAACGGCTGATCAAAGGCGCATATGGTTGACGACTGTACCTAATCCCCACATCAACGATCGATGCGAAGGTACGGGGTGAGATCACATGTGATCTCTGGGCACTCCTCCCTGCTATTCATTGCAGGATTTTTGGCATTTATCCAAAAAGTCTCAAGAAGCTTGCGCGTTGGTGTTTTGGCATCTCGTGCGGGGATAGCGACGTTTATATCAAAGTCGTCTCCGCTACGCTGCACTGGACTAGCTCCGGCAGGACCTCGCACTTTTCGTTTGTGGGTTCGGCTGCTGTTTGACGATTTCCATTTCGTCATAAATGTCGTTGAATGCTGGTCGAGTTCATTGCTCCTGAAGTCTGAGTTTGTCGAGCTAGAGCGTTCCCACTTGGACTGCGATGAATCAGGTTTAACAGGGAAGTCTGATACCAATTTCACGACGCCAGAGGGATGAGAGGCTTGGTGGGCTCTGCGCGGGTGAAACCTTGTGATGACTGACAACATTTATCACTGCCACCCATCCCTCTCACTATTATAACTAAACCTACTGTGACATAATTAAATCTCAGAATATTCTTGATTACGGTGGATTAGATTTCTATAATTTACTAGGACATGTGTTATTGTAAACAACGATGAACTGAGCAATTACTTGAGGAGCAGAAGTAGACTTAAAACTTAAACTTAAATTGCCAACTTGACTCGTCTTATACTTACTTATCGAAACCCAGAAGCTCACTGATGATCTTATGACTACCGACCTTTCAACGTTCAAGATGACGCTATTCATCAATCTGCCGCGCGTATAAAATAACGTGGTTTGTAAGCCTCTTACTAATCTAACTGCTGAAACTCTTACCAATCATCTTACGAACAGCCAAGTATTCCTAGATCGTCTACATAAGGCCGGCATTAATAGCTCTTACGTCATGGAGTCCTTCGACGTGATCGTCCTTTATACAGACCTTTCAAATGACTCCGTAATGCAATCTATCTTTGAATTCCTTATGCATCCTTAAGAATCAATACACTTACTTACTTGAATCGTTTCAACTGGACAACTCATGGCTGTCTTGAAGAAGTGCCTAAACTTCCAAATATTCAGTTGATGTGGGAAATACTAGGCAAAGACGAACGGCTTGAGAATGAGACAACGACTGGCACCAAGCCTTGCTATTGCATTTATGTCTAGGGTAGAATCACCAGTAATCGACCTCCGCCCATTGCTTTACCGTAGATATATAGGCGAATGTTTTGTCGTCTGCTCCACACAAGAAGTGACGGTAAATGTTTTGAGTTTTGACCGAACAGTCGGAGTATATAAAATTCACTTGAGAGAAACGGAAGACAAATTGTGGTCCCGGTTTCATCGGTTACTATAAACCTGAGCAAAAACGGCCGCATAACCATTGCGTGTGACTTTGATTTCTCCTGGTCCTTGTCGTTCATGAATAGTTTTGTTCTCCATGGTGTACTGGGACAACTTCATTTTGTTCGTCATGTTTCAACCCGCGCCTTCAAACGTGAACTTCTTCAGAGATTATTCCAGTGCAGATTGTGAATTTGTAGTTTCCAATTCTGGAAAAGGACTTACTTTCGTAGAACTCATCAATATGACGCTATAAGGAACGTAAGTGAAGAGCATGCTGAAGTAATCTTTGATTTGCATCAATTCACCTATAGGCGCATAGTTCTCGTCGCATATTGCTTAAGCTGTTATTGTTCACACTTAATTTCGACCAGAAGACCAGTGCTGTTAACATCTCTGCTACCAATCATCCAAATACCAAGCGTACGTTTTCAAAAGGATCTTCCCCGTTATCACAAATGGCGTTTCATGATCCTTCATTTCTCGTTTCGACCACTCCGATGACTTCGTGTTTGATCATCCTAGCTTGCATTGTCAGGTTCGTAATGCAAAATTCCGATGATAGTAGTTAACCTCTGCAAGTAACGGTTAACATCACATTCCAATATTTAGACTGCCCATAATGGCCTTGAGCTTTGCGTACGACGAGCGCTAAGCTGTTATTTTGGTTTCAGGCCTATGAGACAATTTCTTCACTTTTTCCAGCTGCAAATACATATAAATGCCGTTCGTTTCAAAATTTCATATAAATGCCTTCATAAGGTATGTTGTAATGCTGTAAATATCCAGGATAGTTAGCCGGCCCTTCTTAGAACAAAAGCAGGAGGCTGCGAACCACCTTTTATGCACTTACCAATAACTTCGTTAGAGGCTTCAGGCCGAATCTATGTGTTGCACACAATACGCGCATTTGTTAGACAACTTATACTCAACTACACGTGCTCATTGACCAACATAGATGACGTAAAATTTAATCTCACACAGCAGAGGTAAGAGTCCTTTACGAAATCAACAACATCTGGGTTCACTGAAAGGTAGTTTTTCTAATGTTCACTGTTTGGAAAAAAATAAAATCTGTAAATTCTCATAAAAATACAATATAAAGACGCAAAACCTCTATATGAGACACCCCATTGCTGACGTTTCAAAACTCTAACCCTGACCTAGTGGGAGGGAAAAAGTGCGACTTCGGGGTCAACTGAAACAGAATTTAGCACTTTCAGTACTGAAGCATTAAGACCGTGTTGCTCAGCAGCTCCTAATTTGTGCGGTTTTTGAAGATCAGTTAGCTCCTTCTTGAGTCATAGTGGTATTTTGCACTGCTTCGTTTTGTTTTGCCGAAAACGAGCACTTCGGCCAAGAGAAGTACACTAAGAGATCTATACCTAATTTATCTGAATTCCTTCAGAAATTTTTAACTGCTGTGGTGCAACATTGTGATCGATACCAGAGCTACACTTCTCTCAGACCACTTTGCTGTCGACTCGTTGTCAAATTAAGTTGTAGATAGAGAAGGGGTGGGGGGAGTTGGGTGAGCTAAGAATAACTGCGAGGTCAATCTGTTCAAGTAATGGCGAAACCCAGGAAGTAAATAGGTGGGGAGCTGAAAATGAGTGTTCTTTCCGTTATTTAACTGTATTTATAGTTTTATGAGACTTTTCTGGGCTCACCATGCGACACCAGGGAATCACAATACCTAGACCGGAAAATCTCCGAAAAAATGGAAATCA